TTGTGTTTATCCTATAATTGTTATTATTTGCTACTCCATTGTGTGTGTGTGTTCTTGGAGACTCTTTTTTTCTCTCTTTGGGCTTGCACTGTGATGATGATGAATTGCTTTTTGCAGTGGGAAAAAAAGAAATAATAATAATAATAATAATAGATGAATTTATATTTATAATTGCGTATATGTACACATATAGACTTATACCCATAGTTGGTGTATATTTCTGTGTTTACTCTGTAGATTGGGCTAATGGTTAATATCTGTTTTGTTTGCTTGTGGTTTGCTTGCTTTGTTCTTCGTTTGGGCTTCTTTGTGTGCTTTGCTATTCATCAATGTCAATTTCTCTTTGAAGCGATAATAACTAATAATATTAAATGCAAAAATGTATTCAGAATTGCTTAAACATGGCCATGGCATATACATGTTGGTTATTCTGTTTTTTCTTTGGCTGTAGGTCGTGATTTTAATTTCTGTTCTTTACTTTTTCTTATCTTTGAGGTTGTGTGTGGTGTTCACTTCTTGAATTCTTTATTGTTTGTTCTGTTTTTCTTCTTTTGCATCACCTGTTGTTATCTACTGTATCAATTCTTTTTCTTTTTTTCTTTCTTTAGCCAAGTGACGTAAAAGAAACGCAATTAACTGTTGCTGTGATGTTCTTGTATATTTTGTTGTGTTTTCTTTCTTTGCTTCTGAGCACTGCCTCTTTATCTATGCCGGTAAACGGGACTCCTAATCCTGAAGAGGTAACTGCTCCTTGCACTCAAGATTCTCGTCCTGATGGTTCTCCTTGTCCTTCTTCTGTCCCACCACCACCACCATCACCTCCTACTGTTACTTCTGACTCTGGTGATACCTCTTGCAAGGATGGTACTAGTGTTACTACTAAAGGTCCCTGTCCTCCTAATACGAATATTGCTGGAGGTGCTGGTAGTGGAACACTTCAAAGACCCCAAGGGCCTCCGTCTGGTGGTGATGGTGAGAGAGGAAAACCGCATCAGTTGGAAAGTCAGAGAGAGGCAAATGATGATGCTGTTTCAAGTCCACCTGATACTTCGCTTGGTAAAGGACAAGCGGTGAGTCAACCAGCGGTGAAGGCGCCAGACAATAGCCACAGAGAGGGCATGACAATGTGAGTAGTGTCGATCAGGACGTGAGAACTGAAGAAACAACAAGAGGTCAAGTGATCAGTGGAGGGGCTGATCAGAATAACGGAAATCAACAGCCCGGAGGAAATGGTTCACAGTCCTCAGAATCTTCAGTTGCAGCAAATACAGATACAAGAGATTCTCAGAACAACCACAACGGTACAACAGGACAACCTCAATCTTCTGAGAGCACCCAAGAACCGAGTGGTGCAGCTGAGAATTCTAATGGTGCTGCGAAACCTGCAGAGGGTGATTCAACAAACGAGACTGAAAGTACAACCAGTAATGATGAGGAATCAACCACCACCACCACAACAACAACACTTCCTCCTGAACTCACAAACAACAAGAAGGGTGATGCAGACAGCAGCAGCAGTATCAGCAGTTCTGTGTGGGTGCGTGTACCACTACTGATTGTGGTTACACTGGCCT